GGTAGAAAATCCTCCAAGTTGTTTCTTACTCTCTAGAGCCAATCTTTGGCAGAATTGTCATGGACTTTTAGACTTTGAGTTACAGTTTTCATATAGTATTTATTGCCATTTTAATGGATATAATTACACAGGATAAAGTTATGGCAAATATTCGTAGCTTAATATCTATTTCTTCAGGTTTGAGGGTTTAAAATGGCTCCCAACATTTAGGTTCGGAGCAAAGACTTTGACACATTGGCTTTTACATGGAAGCATTAAAAAGAATCTTTAAAATTTTGAGTTTGTTGGTTTTTTTGTTGTTGCTGTTTGTTTGGGGTTTTTTTGGGTTGGATTTTTTGGGGGTTTTTTTGTTTGGATTTTTTTTTTTTTTGGTCACAATATATTTATAAACACTGCAACTCTGCTATTAAATAAAACAGAGGAACCAGAGCGAGCTCAGACAAAGCTGCAAAAATGGAGAAGGTGGGCAAGTAAGATCCAGAAGAAAACTTAAAGAACTGGGCGTGTGATTCCAGAGGGAAAGGAAGATTCGTGATTAACTGAGGATGGCTAAAATAGATGTTACATAAGAGACAAGCATCAGTTATTCCTTCTCATCATTATGGGCAGGAGAAATGGGTTTACAAGGCAGCAGGGAGGAATTAGACCAAATATTAAGAAAAACATCCCAACTACAAAAAAATGTTCGTAGCTACAAGGAAAACCAGGCAGTGGAGTTGGTTGCCAAGGGGAGGATGTGAATCACTGTAAGTGAGGATCTCTGTAGTTGAACAGCCATCTGTTGCAGAATTAAATCTCCATTGCAGTGTTAGATTAGGGTGAAAATACTTAGATATTGCTGTTATTGCAGTTAGAGTGAGTCTTGCATAACTGGTATTCATAATTATGGATAACCCAAGTGAAACCTGCTTTTTTGCTTTTTGTTTCAGGTTTTGTTTCCTTTTTTTCCCCTTTTGTTATGCCCTGTGTCTGTAAAGGATTGTGTTGTAAAACAGCTGCTACATTTTGCTTTTCCTTCTATTTATCCATTACAGGAAACCACCAAGATACAGCAAATATAATGGGATAGGTGGGAATATGTCTCTTGGTTCTTCCAGTAAACTTCCAAAATCGGTTTGCATCCCAGGAAGCTGAATAAGGAATTTTTTTGTAAGGAAAAGAGGTACAGATATGCCTTAGTCTAAATTATGGTAAGAAAAAAGTCGTGGTGAGCTATCCCTTCTCTGTTTATCATAGAATCATTAAAATATATTAAAATTTGAAATTTGTCTCTTCCTTTCTCCTCTGCTACAAATATGGATGGTTTTTATCCTTACACACTGGCTTTAGTTCAGGAAGACACAAACTTCTGGAGGGTATCAGGAGCTTTAAGGAGTAAGAGAAAAGAGCAGTGATCAATTCTGATTTTTAAAGACAGCACTTAGGAGTGGAACAATGGAGAATTTCTGGAGAAAATTCCCAATTTCTCATAAAGACCTTGAATCTTTGTAAACTCCTCATACATTACGGAGCTACTCAAGGGTTAGATAAAATATGGCAATCAGATAATAAATATCCTGATCTGTCTGTAGAGGCTGAAAGAGAGGCTTGGTTTATTGGTTTATTTCATCTTTTGTCTTTCTACTGAGCCCTGAAGCTGGTTTCAGGATTTTAAATATACAGTCTTCAAAATTAAAATATTGTCTGATCTTTCTAGAAAGGCAGTTCAAACCTGTGCGTGAAAAGACAGTGACTCTTGTTGGAAAAGAGACAGAATTTATTCTTCCCCCAAATTTGAAAATGTATCATAATCATCACGGTTGAACCATTTCCACACTCATCTACACTTTTATTTGTATATATTCCTTGCTATTTTCCTTCAAAATCTTTTGTTCCAGTTTTTCCCAAAGGTGAACAATTTGTCTGAGTGGAGAACTATTTCTATGGCCCTTAGGTTTGTAAAGAGAGAGCAGTTCCATGTTATTATGTCATTTCCTCAAATAAGGGTCTGTGTTGCAAGATAGAGGAGTTAATTATGGTTCTCTTTTCTCTTTAGTCAGTCCTGAATCACCACGTTGTGTAATTACTCAGCTACTACTGTGCAATCAAAATAATAATATGTTCCTTACTTTTCTCATCACTATTGTAACCAGTTCAGCCAGAACCCTTACTTTTTGGCCCAGAATGTGAGAGTGTGAAACCATCTGCAGAATAACCACAGGCACGGGCTTATCTTTGGCCCATGGGCCACCAAGAGAGAAGAATTGACTAAACTCACCTTGTGCCACTCATAATTAACACCACCATCACCACTTGGATGTCACTGACTTCATTATTGGGCTTATTTTTCCTTCCAGTCTAAGCCCCCACTCTGCTGGGTGCTGTGTGAAGATGTCTAATAATTATTGAGTCTCTAGAAATTGAGATCTCTGATTAAGAGCTTGGTCTCTGACTTCACTCAAATTTTGACCCTTCTCCTGTCCATTTATTCTAGAAGCAGCATATCACAAGAACTTTTTAATTAGTGTGATTAGCAACCACATCTGGCTGTGAAACTATCACCAAGCCACCCTATCACTCCCCTCCTCAGCAGGATAGGAAGGGAGGCAGGGAAGGAAATATATTGGATAAATGTCACAGGTCAAGGAAAGCCTGCTCAATAAAGCAAAGGCCTCATGCAGAAGCAAAGAAAAACAAAAGATTTATTCTCTGCTTGGTGTCAGAAGGGGCTGTTCAGCCACTTCCTGGGATGTGGCTGCTCTGAAAGACAAATGGTGTGACAACAAATGCCCTCCCAGCCCCTTCTTTTAACTTTTATCTCTGAGCACATGTGATATGGTGTGGAGCATCCCTCTGGTCAGGTGCCAGGCTGTGAGTTCAATCTCTTTATGGGCCATCAATTTCAAAGTTGGACTTGATGATTCTTGTGGGTCCTTTCCAACTCAGAATATCCTGCAAGTGAGGTTTAGATCAGTTGTCCTGACTATGCCCTTTCCCAAGATACTGCCTAAACCCTGCCTAGTAGTGAGAGAGAAATGCTGGACAAAATCATAGAATCTCAGATTGGTTTGGGTTTAAGAGAGCTTAAAGTTCATTTCATTCCAACTCCTCTGCCATGGGCAGGGACACCTTCCACTCTCCCAGGGTGATCCAAGCCTTCTCCAGCCTGGTCTTTGACACTGCCAGGGATCCAGGGGCAGCCACAGCTTCTCTGTGCAGCCTGTGCCAGGGCCTCCTCACCCTCACAGGGAACAATTTCTTCCTAAAATTCAAACCAAGTTCCTCTCTTTAGTCTGAAGCCATTTCCCCTTGTCCTGTCACTCCAAGACAATCTCTCTTCATCCTTCTTGCAGGCTCCCTCCAGGTACTGAAAGGCCACAACAAGGTCACCCAAATCCTGCTCTTTTTCAGGCTAAAAAATCCCAATTCTCCCAGCAGAGCTGGTCCATCCCTCTGATCATCCTGATGCCTCTTCTGGACTTACTGCAACAAGCTGATGCTCAGCAGTAGCCAAAATGCTCCTGTGTCTGTCCCCAACACCTTTCTAGCCACCAACACACAGCTCAGCTACTCTGTGGAAAATTAATTCCACCTCAGCCAGGCCCAGCAGAGCCAGGGACAAGGTCCAGACTGAAATCTGGACACTGTTTTTTTTAGCACCTAAACATAGGTGTGCAGAGGGAGAAATTTCTGAGCCAGGCACTCAATGTCCTTGTCCTAACACAATGTCTGTGGACATTTGAGAAATGCCAGGGTATTGAATACACCCATGTTGATGGATTCAGGGAACACCTGTGCTATTCCTGTCCTGCTGGAAGCTGAGCAGGATGAACCAGAGCATCTCAAATATCAATAAACACATATGGTCAGGTAACTGAATCCCATCCCAGATGTCTGGGTGCACATGGAATTCCACAAGGACCTTTCCAATGTGTCAGGAGGCAATTTTCCATTAGGAAGGTAGAAAACGTCACTGCCAAAACAAACTTATTCAGCCATCCTTTATAGGTCTCATCACATTACTGCTTACCGCAGGTCATGAGATGGCTGCACTCTGTGTTCTTGCATTAAAAAGAGCTGGATTTGTTAATGAGCAGCACAGAGAGTGAAGCAGAACCACAGAGTCCTGACTTTTCCAGTATCCATGGTTAATGAATTCTATTTTTGAATGCACAGTACTCTGGTATTGTCATTAGTCAGGGGGGAAAAAAGACTAAAAAAGCCTCAGTGGTGTCTGCCATCAGCCCACTTTTTCTCAACCTCTCCCATGATTATGATGCTCAGGGATTTACTGATTATCTTAACCTTTGGCCAATGATACAATCAAAAGAACAGCAACTGCCCTTCCCAAAGTAATATTTGGCAGTGCAATGGCTCAAAAGAAATAAACGTGATTTTGAAAAAGAACAAGGTTATAATTTAAGTAATGAAATTGGTATCCACCTGCTTAATTAAATACAAATGTTTCTTCCTGAGTGAATTTTGCTTAGTCCCTTAGTGGCCAGGATAGCAACAGTTTATTAGAGAAGAGTTAGAATAAAAATACCTCAATCCTACTCTATTTGATGAAAAAATAAAGGCCCCTAAAAACTGCTTCAGTGGGTCTCTTTAGTTTATTATTAATATTCTAGCACATCTGTGATTTTCTGTATAGTGTATCAAGAACAAATGGGTTTGCTCCTTACTGAAAGCACGGCAAACATTTCTATTTCCACTGACTAAGATCTTTTTTTGCCAGGAATTGTTCCATTAATTTAGAGAAATAATATCCCTTTTATATCTTATTCCTACTCATTCTTTCAGTAAAAATATTTTGTGATTTTACAAGGTTTGGAACATTTGCACACTGGAGCTCATACTGAAGTTCATCTCAGAGACATGAGTGGTAGTGACAGTTTCAATCTGTTGTCTAGAAAAAAAAAATGGGCAGAAAAATTGTCTTTTCTCTCATTAGTTTTTGAACTTAAAAAAATAAAAAGTAGAATAATTAATTCTGGTTTTTCTGCCAGTTTGACTAGGAAATGAATTCCTGGTGTGGAAGAGGAAGTATGACATTATTATAAACTGTTCTCTCCTCTCAAGTTCTATTCACTTTGCCCACCCCTAAAGACAACTCTGGTGGCAAAGCACCTCAAGGACTGATCTTCCGTGACTGACAGAATTCTAACAAAATACAGGAAAACAGCTTGAAAAGACTTCAAGATATCAACCAAGCCATTGTCCAGCCACAAGGCAGTCCAAGACATCACTCCCATGGTGTTTGTCTGATCTTTTTCAAAACCCATCCAGTGACGGAGATTCTACATTTCCTTCTCTTCATTTCTTACAGATTTCAACAATTTTTACTGACACAAAGATTTTTCCAGACATCCCATCCACAATTTCCCTCTTGCACTTTTAGCCAGTGTCTTTTTGCCCGACCTGACACAGCAAATTTATTCCTGTTTCCTTTCCAAAGGTCTTTTACAATATGAGATGTGCCATGTCACTGTGGTGTAGTGGAAGGTGTCCCTGCCCACAGCAGGGAGTTGGAACTGGATGATCTTTAATGTCCCTTCCAACCCAAACCATTCCATGACCCTGTGGCTCTGTGATGTGTCCACTTCATCTTCTCTTTTGGCAAAACCATTGCTTTCCTTCCGACCTTTCCCCTTACTCTGCATTTTCCTGGCCTCTCCTCAAACTCTCTGCTTGCCTCTGGATTCTTTCCTGCGCATCCAAAGCTTTCTTGAAAAATATTTCCTAAAAAGGCTTCATCTTTGTCTGGCCAAGTTGCTCTGGCAGTTTGACTGCTTACCACCATAAGTATTGCTTTTGCAAGAAATAAGTGATTCCCTCATTTATACACCAAATAATTTTGCCCTTTCTCTGGTATTATGACATCACTGACATCACCTTGTGTAGCCACCTCCACCCTTGGGTGCTTTCTTGCAGGTCTGTTGATTTTTGTAGCTGTTCCTTTCATATCTTATCCCAAAATTCTTAGTGTAGAAAGCGAATCACTTTCTTTCTCTGATGTTAGGCACTGGTTGAGTATGACCAGCAGCTAACGAGGAATTGTGAATTTAAGGACCATCTTTAGAACTAGAAAGGTCCTAAAAAGTAACTAGTTAAAAGAGGAGCAAGAGAGACAGATATTTTGGACCACACAGTAATCATCTTCCTATATTTAATTTCAGCATCCAAAAACTTCTGAGTTTTTTTGTTTTACCCCATTAAGAGAAATGTTAAATGCAGCACTCAAACGGCAAAGAAACATCACCTGATGGGCACCTGTCCTCTCCTAAAACTGGCCCCACTCCCCTACCAGGGGCTGCCTTCTCTCTTCCACTGCCAGCATTTACAAGGTGCCCTGGGAACTGATTCTGCTGGATAAAAAATGTGTATTTCTAGTCTGGATCAGCTCCCTGCTCCTGCTCCCTGCAATGCCCACAAATAGCTGTGGCAGGGAGAAGTTGAAATGGGAGAGAAAAGAAGAGCTGAAGCACTATGTGGGCAAGTAGCTGTGCCATAGCCTTGCTGCCAAACTAAAAAAAATTATCCCAGTGGAAATAAAACCAATCAAGCACGCTGGTACAGGCCCCAATATTCTAGTGCTTAAACAGATTTAATTTCACATGATATAGAGTTATTGCTCTACATTTTGTGCTGTTTAAGCAGCTTTAGTTGAAATCCATCAGCCGATTTCATAAATGACATGAGCAAAATGAGCAAAATGATCAACCTCTTACACTGCAAGGAAAAATTAATTTGACTGCATGATTATGGGCTCTGCATATTTTTCAATCTTAAAAAATGATAATTCAGGGCCTCACTTATAATTCTTCTTTGAGCTCTGGGCTGTGTAAAGTTTTGAACATTCCCTTTTTTCCTGGGAAATGAAACATTCATCCATCACGTCTGCACAGCAAAACCGCCTATTCTTGGAGCTGTGGTTAAATGACAGGCCCAGCCTTCCTCCTCCCCTCCCACACCTTCCCTCTAAATTTCAATAGTATTAGAGAAACATCATGGCAAGAAAAGACTGTGTGAGACAATGTTAAAGAGTGAAATTTCCTTATATTTCTCTGTAGATTTGCTTTCAGTATTACAAATTTCACCACAGCAGCCTGTGCCCATCAGGGTGACCTCGGTAGCCCACAGAAGCATTCCTAGCTCCATTTTCACTTTGGACACTGGTGGTTGCATTAATGACTTCAAGAAAAATGCCACCTGTAGCTTTTTTCCCCCCAGAATTGAATTTAATACCTATTTTTTGGCATGTTTTTGGGAAATATGAAGCTGCAGCAATGTCACTTCAGAAGCTGTAACTATTCAACTCAAATTGTTTGCTTTTAGCTTTGGAAAATCCATGGGGTTTATACGTCAATGAAGTAAGTTGTTAGCGCCTTTTTTTTTGTTAAATTGTGAAATAATAATTTAGAGTGTTAAGGTTTCCTCCATCTTTCCTTCATCATAAGAAAACTAAAATCATGAATTGTGGACTGGTTTAGATCCAAAGGGACCATCCAGTTCCAATCCCCTGCCATGGACAGGGACACTTTGCACTATCCCAGGTGGCTCCAAGCCCTGTCCAACCCTGTTGAACATTTCAGCTGTAGATTAATCTATGTGCAAATGTCTTTGTAAGTACAAGAGTTTCCCAGGAGAACTTGTGGAAACCCCATTCCTGGAAATATTGAAGCCCAGCCTAGATGGGGTTTGGAGCAGCCTGGTGTTGTGGAAGGTTGGGACCAGATGATTTTAAGGTCCTTTCCAAGCCAAAGCACTCTGCGATTCTGTGATAATGGAGGGGTGTTGTAGAGGGAGAAAAAGTGGCAGAAAAAAAAATTCAAGAGGTTTTTATAAGTTTTGGGATGTTGTTTTATGTTCAAGAGTGCAGAAACAGGGATGGCAGGGCTGGGAGGATGGAGCAAGTTGTTGTGAAATCAGCCAATATTTTATAAACTATACAAACTTTTAACAAAAACTAAAACCATTCCACAAAATGCTGCAAGGGAATCCTTGAGAGAGTCATGAAAACATCAGGTTTTCACCTTTGGAAAGCTCAAGGGGAGAAAGCAGCTCCTTTTACTGCATGTCCAGTGTCTCCTCTGCAGCTGTGCCATCCTGAAGGCAAAGTGCCACCGCTAGAAAACTTGGCAGAGGAGCTGCTGGAACAGGGAGGGTGCTGATGGTGCAGGTGATGAGTGGAGAGAAGATGTAGTAATTACTGATCTACTACGTGTCTGCCTCTGCTCAGGAGGAGTGTGGGAGCAGGCTTGCAGAGGTGTTGGTGTCCAAGGACTGGTAGGAAGTGAGAAGTTTGTGCCTGTGGAAAACTGGTCCTTCAGATGTGCTTTTATGGTGAAGCTAAGCAGCTCGAAGTTCTGTTGGTTATTGTGGAAACTTTTTTTGTTTAAATGAAAAAATAAAGTTGTTTAAATGAAATAATAATAATAAAAAAGACCCACAAACCCATTATTTTCCTTTAGACGCGCCTTTCTCCTTAACCACAAACAGCTGGGAATTTGCACACAACAGCGACAGTAGGAAGGAACTCATTTTAATGGAATGTCTGAGCTGCAGAGTGGCAGAATCAGGCGGAAAACACAGAAAAGCCAGGTTTTCCAAAATGATCCATGCTGATCAGAGCTCCTATATTGTAGATTTCAGCATAAACCTCCTCCATACCGATATTCTTTCTGCCTGAAAAATGAAAACCTTTTGAGATATCTTACACTGGGGTTTCTCTGTGTTCCCTCCTAGGATGAAAAGTGGCAGGCAATGCCTTCTGTGGTTTTTATAGCCATGACTTCAACAGCACTGAATAAACACACTGAGTGCCTCAGATGTGGTGGCTGAAATGGAAAATTCTGATGTGGACACCAGAAGCTTACTCAGAGGCAATTTATTTTTTAATACATGGACCAAAAAAGTGCATCCCCATGGAATGGGAGATGTTGCTCCTCTGAAATGGGTCTGTTCATGATCCCTCTTCAAACACTGGTTGAAATGGCTGTGGGGTGTATGGTCAGCAGACAATTTGTGGGACAGCCTAAAGGTTATTAACCTTAAAGCACTGATACATGGCAGGAAACGTGATGGATGCTCAGTCAGATTTTTTTTCATAAATCTATAATGGTTTTGGGAAGGAGGGGAATGTGTCCAAATTCTGGCATGATCTTGTGCTGACAGCATTGGTCACGATGGTTTTATAAAATTTCCAAGGGTTTTAATAATATTAAATGTTTGTAAGAGAGCTAAACCTCCCTGTTATAGTCTTACTACTGAAAGAACTTTGAATTCAGGACAACCTGAATATTTACATTTTACCCAAATGGGAATACAAGGTAATCAGCAAAATGCAGGTAAGAACAGAATATTGTCAGCAAACATTATTTTGAAGGTATGTATGATGGTGAATTAAAACTTTGTAGATTTAATTTCTCTTACCAGATTTTTTTTCATAACTTTACTGACTGAAAAAGTAGATTGAACATTATGGGCTGAATTTTTTCCTTGTTACATCTCTGCAGGGAAATATTGCAGTTCTTGAGATTCTGTAGCTTCTGAAATGAGTTTAGGAAGAAGTATGAGATTTTCCCATGATAAATACATTTACAAGTGTTCATTTACCATTCTAGGGCTTCATCCTCTGGAATGAGCTGATTAAAACTGACAGGAACACAGCTCTAATTTTGTTTTAGGCAAGACTTTGAAAGTTAGCATAATTAAGGAAGGTATAAGGCTTTAGAGGAGAATTAAATAAATCTTTAAGCACACACTGCAAGGAAAATTTGCCCACTTCAGCTCTCCAGAGACACTTTCTTGCACTGGATATGCTCAGTTCCCTCCCAGACCCAACCTACAACCAGGCCCTGGAGGCTTCAATCCCACAGATATTCCCAAAAGTAGCTACAACTTCAGTTCTTCACAGCTGTGGTGACTCTGGGAGGGGAGAGGCTTCTTTCCTGGCTCTCAGCATTCCCACAATCTGTGTAGGGAAGCAGAGGAAATAATTGAAAAATATAAGCAGGGTTGATGGACAAAGAGCAGTGCCAGAGGTGGAAGCAGGGTTGTAGGATGGACATTTGTATGAGAAGTTGGGAGCTGGGGGTTATAAATTAATTTAAGGAATGGAATGAGATGAGAATAGAAGAGCAAAGAACAACATTTGAAAGGGATTTCATACCTTGAGTCTCTGATCTTGCAATGTTGACATTTGCCCAATGTTGATGGGGAATTTAAAGGCCTTCAAGGTGGTACAAACTGAGAGACAAATGAAATAAATCTCCCTTTAGCTCTGAGTGAGAATGGGCATTTCTGGAGTGGGATTCAGCTGGCCTGCCTTGAATCTCAGGATGAGATGAATGAGCTGAGTGTTTGCATTTCTAGACTTTGGCTAAAGGACTTGACTCATTGACATTCAGACACTGAACTTTCAAAAGTCTGAAGCAAACTGGGAAGAATCCTCTGTGAATTTTGCCTTCAACTCAGTGCCCCAACAGGTACACAGCAAAATTTGTGTTCACATGCCTGTCAGTAGGGTTTGATTTTGCATTTTAAAGTGCAGCACTGTGGTCATTATACTGGTATAAAACCACCCAGATACACTAGACCCATATAAGAAAAACATTTCATTATAAAAAATATACAATAACTGTAAGGAGAGTGTTCCTTTTATGCCAATCATGTTGATTTAATATGGGATTAGTAACATTTAGAGCTCTCCATCCCCCCAAAACCATTTTGTATTAAAAGAAATGAGTCTTGCTAGGAGCATAGAGAATTCCCATAATCCTGGCATCAATCACTCAGTTCATCCAGTCCAGTCTTTGAGCAAAATCAAAAATTTGCAAAGCTTAAACACAGCGTGGAGAATTGTTAATATTTATCTCCCACTTCACATCCCTGTTACGTCACTTCTGTGCAAAAAGATAAATGCTTCAAATCTGCAACTGAGAGGAGAAAGAGAAGCCAAAAAGCAGGTGAAAGATGCTAAGAGAAGCTGAAGAACTGAGATCTGGCTCTTGCTTTGGAACATGAACATGGAGATGAGTTCTTTATATCACTGTGCCCTGCGCACCCTGAGTCTGGCAGTGCTTGTAAGTAATTGCATGAAAAATAAAAAAAACCTTTTGCTTCATTGTGTTTCAATAATTGTTCATTTCCTTGTGGGAGCAGATGGTCAGATACAGCTTTATTTTTATTTTTTTTTTTTATATGTCTCTTTTCTCTGTTTGCTTTGGATTCCAGTTAAACAAGGCGAGATGCAATGAAAAGTGTGAACAGCGGCAGAAGGGACCCACGTTGTGGGATCTTCATATCAGTTTATTTCTCTGCTTTCTTATGACACACTCAGTAAAGAGAACCACATAAAGAGAAACTCTTATTTTGTGTGTGTGGGCTTTGAAAGACAGTGACAAAGAAGAAAAAACTGGAGGAGGGCTGTTACACCAGAGCAGCTGAGTTTTGATAGAGTTTTCTTTAATTTCAGATTCTGCAGGTTTTTTGCTACAATTTCATCTGCCTTGGTGGTAGCACTGATATTATTTGGCATGTGAGCAGCTGAGATGCTGCAGGTAACAAAAGAATGAAACCACAGGGATGTTTAGGGCAGATTTAGAAAGGTCCAAAGCCATTAAAGAGCTTAGAGGTCTTGTTGATAACTCACTTTGGACAGAGATTGGCAAACCAAGATCGCACCAGTATCAGGAAAGGTTTGTACAAATCAGGGGCAGGATATTATCTTTGCTTTTGAAAATAATCACATCTTCAGCATCTTCCTTTTGCCATGCCACCTCTACATCCTTTCTTCTTTCCTGGGAATATCTTCCCTGAAGGGACATTTCATGAGGGGTGGCACAGCAGCTTGGGTTTTTTCTCTTCATTGAGCAAAATAAACCACTGTGAAATGGCTGAACAGACTTTCTACTGATGTGAAACAAGAGATTCCTTTGTATCACCTGAGTGACAAACCCACTACCCTGATTGTTCTTAAGTAGAATACCAGGATTCAGTGCTAATGGTTAAAAATATGACTGAAGGCCTCTGTAAGAACCTGCCTCATTTACCCATGAAAAACAGAATTTTCTTTGACAAATTTGGGTTGCTTTCTATATTATTATTATTATTATTATTATTATTATTATTATTATTATTATATACTGATCAAAACCAAGTTTATGTGTTAGTGTATAAAGAAAATCTCCTAGCATGTGTTGCATATTAGAAGATAGATAAACAACCCTCATTTGAGTATAAATTGGTGGAAAAGCAGTTCTCTGTTTTTGTTGTGGGTGTAATTTCTTCATGTGCTTTCTCTGGAAAATATGAACTCAGCTCCTGGAGAGGTTTGGAATGCTTGAGAGGCTGACTCTCATCTCCTTAAACTGGGGGTCTGCTAGAGGTAGAGTGGTTTGAGGTGATAAATATACCTAAAACACAGCCTGGGAGTAGAATAAATCTTTTCAGTTTATTTAACCTGAGTTTCTGTTATATCAGATCTGGCCCTCAGTGTCTGCTCAGCCAGTGTTAGTGCTAACTTGAAAATAAACTGTGACAGCACCTCCTAAGGCTGGCTCTTCTTGAAGAGGCAACAATTTAAATACCTGGTACTGGATCAGCCTCATCTTTTCATTTGAGGTGCATGTGCTAAATTAAGTGTTCTCACAATCTGGAGACTTAGAAAGTAGAAGTGGAAAAAAAAAGACTTTCCTGGAGTTTCCTGGACTGGTGAATGAGCCAAACAAGCTTTGCTCTTGCCACGAACATTTCACAGAGCAAAGAGAGTTTTGACAGGCAAAATTTAGCAATGCTTTTTTGCCAGGAGAAATAATTTAAAATAGTGCAAATAGGTGCATTTCCTCCTGCTGAGGTTTTTCTGGGCACGGTTCACTGAACCAAGAGAATGTTGTAAAAGAGATTTTCAGTAAATGGTTTGATTGTTTTTTCTACTGACTAATAAAGCTGCTTCTTGCAATAGCTGTCATACACCATGGTTAGGGAGTTTTCCTGCAGTCACTGTCCAGGGTGAGTACAAGGGGAGAAATAATATATGTTGGCATGAAAAGAGGTATCATGAGAGCAAAGCTTTTCAAGAAAGATGCCAATTTTCTGTAATTCTGCCAATTTCTTAGTGAAGAGAAACGGAGGGTCTCCCTAGAACCCCAGGTTTGCTGATCTGGATGACATTCCTAGAGCATATAACAGGTCAGATCTCCTCTTCCTGGGGCAGGGCAATGTCTTTGCTCTACTCCATCCATCCATCCATCCATCCATCATCCATCCATGGATCCATCCATGGATCCATCCATGGATCCATCCATCCACCATCCATCCATCCATCCATCCATCCATCCATCCATCCCTCCCTCCATCCCTCCATCCATCCATCATCCATCCATGGATCCATCCATGGATCCATCCATCCATCATCCATCCATCCATCCATCCATCCATCCATCCATCATCCATCCATGGATCCATCCATGGATCCATCCATCCATCATCCATCCATCCATCCATCCACCCATCCACCCACAGTTCCCCTCCTCTCACACACACCAAGCTCCATTCAGCCTGGAGAAGGAGCCCTGCTTTTCACTGCTGCCTTAAACTGATCCATGGCACTGTTGGCTGCAAATCTGGCAGGAAAACCACATCCTCCTAAAAGTGCAGTAAATGAGAAGCAGATGATCTTGCAGGGCAAACATGTGGAGATAATGACATTTTTAACTACCAGGGCCCAAACCCCAGAAAAACAAATGTTGTGTAATTAATCCACTGCTCTCCAGCAGTCTGAGAGCCTCAAATATTTGGTCAATATGCAGTTCAAATGCTCTGCAGGCCAACATGAGACATGGATATTAACATGGAGGGGAAAGACCAGCTTATTGGAAAGGACACAATCTGCCCTCTGAATGAACTGAAAGCCAGAGAGTTATTTTCCAAATTCCCTGAATATTAATCTTCTCTGGGTGGAAGAAAACTGAGCCATATGCCAGCCACCTGTTCACCATGCGAGTCTCATCCTGGGTTCATTTTCTATTTAGTCTCTGTGTTTTTGTGTCTATATTCACACATGCAGAGCACACCAGCACCAGTGGCCAGGGTGAAGAGCTAAACGTCAGAGTGTCTCTGATCACAACTCATCTTTTGGGACTGGGGACAGAGGTTAAGGCTGGACAAGCACATATTTTTTAATTTGTGTGAAATAGTCCTGTGCGCTTCAGCCCAGCGGTGCATCCTCAGCATTCTGGGTGCAACAGCCTGGGCAGATTTTGTCCTTTACTGCCCAAAGTTCTCTGTATACCTTCAGATCCTTCTGTGGTTCCCATATAAGTCTAAATAAGCACTAAACAAATGAATGTGTTCCTGCTATTAAAACCCTGGGAGTCACTTTTTTCTTTACACCATCACACCAACAAATGCTTTGGTGCAGAATGCTTTTTTGTTCCCAATAAAGGAGTTTTGCCTCCCACCCTATGTAAAGAAAGGCAGATGGCAGAAGGGAGAGAACAGATTAACTCCTTTTGCAGTGAGGAGCTCTTTCAGGTGACAGTTTTGCAGTAATTGTCTGTGATTTCAGGGTGATGCTTCTCTGGAAGCTGGCAGGGCTTTGTCTGTGCACAGGTTCTGCAGCATTTCCTGCAGCACTGGTAAGAAAATGAGCCTGATTGGGGGCAGTGTGCTTTTCTGGGGCCATATTTAACAGAGTCTAGCTGAAGTCAGGGTGTAAATGAATCCTGGACTCAAATTCAGGCTCTAGCAAAGAGATCTTTTATTCTGAATGTAGCCAGAGAAATTGAGAAACTTTCCAGTACAGAGCTCTAACTACCAGCTTGTGCAGAGACAAGCAGCCTTTGGATGGAAACCCTAAGCACTATTCTATGTCCTTAAACCCTTTTAGATGCAAAAGTAGGTCTGGACTTAATCCCTGATGAGATCTCATCCAACCCCTTCTAACTAATCCCCCCAAACTCTCCTCCCTGCAGGTTGCTGGGAATGTCCACCCAGAATGTGATTTTATGGTGGAGCTGAAGAAAAAGGAGGCTGAATGTCTGGGGGCCCCACAAGAGCATGGAAATGCAACATCACCAGGTATCCATCCATGTGTGAGGGAGAGGGAAGGGACCAGAGTCAGGACATGGCCAGGCTGCCAAAGAAAATGAGAATCTTATTTATGCTCCCATGTGCTGTTGTCTTGTCAGCTCTTCTTCCATCTACTCCCATGCTTTCCCATTTTTTAATTTTTCCACAGTCTTTCACATTCAAATATTTACCAGAGTGAATCCTTGTGACCGTGTCCAATTTTTTGGCATCATGCTTGCTTGTTTGTGAGGTTGTGTTGATCTTTAAAAATAGGGCAACCCCTGAACAATTATGGTGATCTGATCTTTCTTCCAGCCTCACTCTTCATTTATCGCATTCTTTCTGAAAACTCACCTCAGTCTAGCACAGGGGTCTAACTAAAGCAGATTAAATAGCACTCTGGGGGTGTTTATCTCTCATAATAAAAACTGTGGCTAAACTATTTTTATAAGATATGGAAGGGGTGGAGTGGCAGAGTTTAAAAAGGCTTGGGGTTTTTATTTTGCTCAAATTTAACCATGCTTAAAAATATGTTTCACTTTCTGTCCGAGGTTGCAAGAGAACTTGGGACAAATTGTTGTGCTGGCCAGAGGCAGATGCTGGAGAGATTCTTGCCTTACCATGTCCAAACATCCTCTTTCACTTCATGAAGGAGCCAGGTGATGTCCTACCATGGTTACTCCTGTTGTGTGTCTGGCAAGAACATTTCTGAAAAGGGAGGGTGGAGACAGAGAATTTAATGTTCTCATGAGCTGGATCAGGGAATTACTGCAAAGACTTTAGGAAGATCTGAGGGACCTTAGCAGTTCTTCTCATATTTTAAGGATTATCCATAACTGGGCTTGATTTCCATAGTCTCTGATAAGGTCCTGGATCAAAAATATACTGAAATACAAGGAGTGATTATTGTATTTGCAAGGTGCCCTGTGGCAGGAAGGAATGGTGAATCTGACTCCATATTCTCAGAAGGCTAATTTATTATTTTATAATACTATATTATATTAAAGAATTATATTAAACTATACTAAAGAATACAGAAAGGATACTTACAAAAGGCTAAAAAGATAATAATGAAAACTCCTGACTCTTTCCAGAGTCTCAACACAGCTTGGCCCCAGTTGGCCAATGAGTCAAAATAATTCACAGCAGAAACCAATTAAACAATCACCTGTGGGTAAACAATCTCCAAACACATTCCAAATGAGCAAAACACAGGAGAAACAAATGAGATAAGAATTGTTTTCCTTTTCTCTGGGGCTTCTCAGTCTCCCAGGAGAAAAATCCTGGGTGAAGGGACTTTTCCAGAAAATGTGAATGCCACAAGTAATTCCGTGGTTTCCACGTGCTTTGGGATCAGTTTGTTGTATGAGTTTCCTACAAAGCTCATCTGGAGGCTATCTAGGTCAGAACTTAAGCTTGGGGTTTCTTGAGATTTATGCTGGGATTGGTGTGGGATGAAATGAAAGGCAGAGGAATGAACAATGTGATTGTTCTGTAAGACCAAGGTTGGCGATTCAAAGCAGAATTTAGGCCTTGGAGCAGCACATGTGCTGCAAAACTGCAAAAAAATACCTTTGTGTCTGCTCCCTCTCTGGGTAGCATGGCCAGTAACAAAACGTGAGCCCACAAGGAGCAAACCACCTTCCAGGAAAGACCTGGATTTGGCAGTTCCTCAAGAAAAAGAAACTGCAAAGCCCAACCTCAGCCACATCCAACACATGCTAGTTATAAACGAGGGATAAGGAAAATCCCTTTCATCTGTGCAGATTCATTTCCTGCCCTGGGATTCTCGACTTCTCCTTCATCTGACTCATAAATATTTTTTGTGGAAGCATGGAAGGAGCTGCTTATCCCAGATTTTCATCTGCTAGGGAAGAGTGAGCCCCAGGGAAGGTGGGAATGAAAAGGGATATGGTGGAAGGGTGAATGCTGTGCAGAGCAGAAATTTATGGAGCAGCGCTTCCCAATCTTCTCCAGTGTGCCTGATATAATTCCTTCCTTAGTCCTTCCCACCTCTTCCTTCTCTCCCTTCTTCCCATTGTTTGTCAATAACTAAAATAAAAAGTTTTGTATCTGAATGTGCACAGGAAAATTGCCCTACTGTCTCTGTGAGCTGCTAATGATCATCTTCTCCTGGTACAACTTTGTACCAGCCACAGGTCTTCTCCTGGCTTTTATTTTCCATATTATTTTGTACTTCATTGAGAAAATTTAATACTTCTTTTTCAGCTGGGATGATAAAAAGAAACTGCACAAAAAAGGGCTGGTCTGACCCATTCCCTCCCTACCATGTGGCCTGTCCAGTAGAGGATGAGATTCCCCATGAAGAAGTAGGTTCAATTACACAAATATATGTGAGTGGTGTGCTGATGTTATAGCATTCCTTTCTATTCCTGAAGAGGGAAACTCAGAAGAAGCTGAAATTTCTTTCTAAGTGTGGGACATAATTCCATTTTTTACTCTGGCCACTTCTTTTGTAAGATAACTGAGAATGTTTTATTATTCCGGTGTAACATTAACAAAGCTGGCTGTAAATTCACAAGTATAACAGACAAAGATATACCACAAAATGTTCATAAAATGTGAATTAAGACATTTCAGTAATATCAGCAAATAACAGTAATTTTCAGTAATATCAGCAAGATGAATTTGTAGTATCACAGCATCTGTACAGAAAGTGTGCTGTTAAAAGACCACTGTTCCAAATTTAACAATATCTAAGGAAAAGAGGGGTTTTGGGTGTTACATTCTGCATGAAATATCTAATTTAGGAATGGAAAAAAGCCCCAAAATCTCTGTAATCTCTGTAATGGAGATCAGAATTTGACATATTTCTTCAGTCAGATTTTGACTGATGGTGATATCTTGAGTTTACAAGCAGAGGGAAAATATAATGCTTGACCCCTAATTAATAAGGATAAAATATGGTTCATAACACCACGGGGAGATCTCTGGGGAACACAGGTTCCCCAGAGAAGCTGTGGCTGCCCCTGGATCCCTGGAAGTGTCCCAGGCCATGTTGGACAGGGCTTGGAGCAGCCTGGGACAGTGGGAGGTGTCCCTGCCCATGGCAGGGGTGGCACTGGATGGTCTTCAAGATCCCTCCCAACCCATTCTGTGATGATTCCATTATTCTGCCTAAAGGAAACTCCTCAGTTGTAGGTTCATCCACTTAAGGAGTTGATTATTTTCTGTTTTACACATCTGATTTGTTGCCAGCTATGGTCAGCCTAGCACAGTTTTGATGTTTCTCATGGAGTGGTGCATCCAGACTTCCTGGCAAGATTTGGAGCTCTGAGGTACTTCAGTGAGCTCTGGCTGGAACTGTGCATAGTCAGGGATTTGGGTAATCCTTTAAAACTCACATTTCACCCACTAGATTTTTTTTTTTAGATTTTTTTTGAACCCCATTACGCCTCGTTTCCACCCCATTTAACTTCATCAGTCTCAGAAGAATACTGTGAAAGTTGGAGCTAATCTCTGCACCATGGATCTGTCTTAATGCTTTGGTCAGGATCAAGTGGGAATTTTTCAGGGATGTCTCTTGGCTGTCTCCACTTACTGCATTCACAACTAAAGCATGCTCTCAGAAAGGATAATCTGGTCTTTTTATGGATAAAATTGATAATCTGGTTTCTTATGGATAAAAAAAGAGGATAATCTGGTTTCTTATGGATAAAATTGCACTGGAAGGTAAATTCAGGGTGCACCTGCTGTGCTCTGAGCAGTAACAACAGCTCAGCCCATTTGGTTAGACTGTGGATAATCATAAATCTGCACACTTGGATGCAAAGTCCTTGGCATAAAAGGTTTCACTCTACTAATCCAGGAGTTGGAAGTAGATGAAATTGAAGGTCCCTTCCAACCCAAACCAGTCAAGGATTTATGATTCTATAACCTGCTCTTTCCAAGGCAGGTGTTGTGGTAGATCCTTTTTGTGGGTCACAGAAACCAATAAGGTCTGATTTTCTAAAGACTTGGATTGTCTTCTGAGAGTGTTTTCCTTCATTAACTATAAAAGAAAAAGGATGAGAAAAACCAGGTTTGTATTAATAATTAAACAGCTCAGCCCCATGGCCAGGCTCTTCTTGTTCTACTACAGACTCATATTTTGGCAGGTAATTTTTAAGCACCTAAATAAATTAAATAAATGTCAGTCTTATAATGCCTAAAATTCCACTTCAGGCTCAAAATGAGCATCTCCCCTTCCCCAAGTGAACTGTAGGAATGCACTGCACAGCTGTGCAGGTTTTAGGTAATAAAATTGAAATGGGACCCCAGAGACGGATCATGTTAGGCTGGAGTTAGATCTGCAGCCTAGAGCTTATTCATTCTGCTTTCTGCTTTCATCTGTGATGGCTCAAGTCAACTTGTCCTCACTCAGGGATTGTGTCTGATAGAGGAGCCACTTAAATTGAAATGGATTTTGACAGGCACTCCAACTGAGCAGCAGTTGAGTTTGGCAGCAAGAAAAACAGAGGAAAGAAACAACCCCAGAAAAAAACAAAAAACCAAAAAAATACAACCCCCCCCCCCAAAAAAAAAAAAACAATCCCACCAAAACAACCCACCACAACACAATAAAAATTGAAATGAGGAATAGACAGCAAAAATGGAAGTCGGGAAGCAGAGACTAGGAAAGTGGAGAAAAATAGAGAAGTGCTGATAGAATTCTGTATTCGTCATGCTGCCAGCAGCATTGTCCTGCTACTGCTGGAGAGAAAACATGGCATAGAACACAATATTTATAAAAATTGTCTAAGATTTTGAACAATGCCTTTTTCTTTTTGAAGACTTGTGTGGGTTTTTATGTTTTTGTGAATGAGCTTTAAACTACCCAGATCAATACATATTTCAGCATCGGATTGGGCTGTAACCACACAACTATGGAATGGGATTACACAAAAGAAACAGAATGAGTGATTTAAGTTGAATTTTGCTGTGGGAAGGAAGAGGGGGAGAAAAAGGCAGTCAGGGATGTCAACAGAATGGAAGCACCAAACAAAGCAAAACTGACAAATCAGTAAAAAAGCTGTCATTTAACAGCAACTTGTGTGACAAATCATTCTCTTCTTTTATAGCAATCCTACTTTGCTACCATAAAGATCATCTACACTGTGGGATACAGCGTGTCCATCACCTCCCTCATCATTGCTGTGACAGTTCTGATTGCATTCAGGTAAAGGCATCCTCTAACCAAGATTCTTTTCACAGTTCTTAATTTCTTAGTCTGTGGCAGACAACATTAGACATAACAAAAGAATAGAAATAGAAATTCAAGTGAATAAAAATAAAAAATTCCAGCCATGTTGGTTAAATAATATGAAACTGAAGCTGGAAATTAAACGGCATCAGAGAGAGTCAGGAATAAGAAGATTCAAATCTGGGAAATAAACCCAGGCTGTCTCTTGGCAAAACTCAGCAACTCACTTTGATCCTGAGGAACCAACAGAAAAATGTATTTGCTTTAGGCTGGAATGAAGATTTTTTTCATAAACTATGCATGCCTGCCTGTTATGGCTCCAAGGAATTTTTAATAATATACACAAAGGACCTGATTCTGAATGAGTGCTCCTGATTTACTATTGAAACATTTACCATGAAAGACGTGTTTTAAAGTTAGTTTCAGAATTTGGTCACATTTGGTGAAAATTCTTGCTTACTGAATTAGGTATTTTATACATACTCATAGGTATTTTCAGGTCTAATTAAGAGTATTTAAAATATTTTATCATTTCATGTAGATTTAATGTTTGCCACCACGTGGGATTTATTTTATTAATTTTTTGTTTATTTCTTGTATTTCTGTGAGACAAAAAAAAAAAAATAGAAGAAGAAAAAAAAAAAAAGGCAGGAGTTTTATTATATTATTATGCTGTGAGAATCAGGGTTCTCTAGGGAAAATTTCTTGACCTCTGCTGGTTCCTAGTTCATGTCTGGAAGCCACCAGATATGTTTATTGACATCCACTCTGACCTCAGGAAAACAAACCAGCCCAAATGAGGGGAAAGAAAGAAACAATGGACATAAGGAGGCGTAGTAATAGGGAGGAAAAAGTCATAATTAACAATGGAGTTGACATTTGAGGTCAGCAATAAAATTCTGCACACTCCAGGTGAACTTTCAGATTAGGTGACCCTCAGATTACTGGGTCTGGGTAGAATTTGGCTTTTAGTGGAACTTTTTTGTTATCAACTCATGTCCTAATCTCCAAATGAAGACATGAAGCTGTATAACTCCCTCAAAAATCTGTATATTATAACAGTAAAAATTTAATCTTAGTTAACTGGGAATTTAAGGTAGATGTGTGAATTGAATTTAAAGTAGATGTGCAAATTGAATTTGAAGCAGATGTGCCAAATTTTTTCAAAGCTCTTCTCTGCTTTTACTTAATTCATCAAAATGACTTTGGCAAAGTAAGGAAAAACCTATAATTCTGGTTAACAAGTAAAGAGATTAAAATGCAGATTGTGGCTGATTTGCTTCACATGAGGAAGTTCTCTTCCTCTCTCTGAAAGAACTCAGTGGATCAAAATGTTCTTCCTAAATGTGTCTGTAAGTACCGGAGATAAAAAAAAGGGTTTATTATTTATTTTATTACTGCCAGCACAACAAAGTTAATTACCTCAGAGGGACCTCTCTTTTTTTCCAGGAGGCTTCGGTGTCCCAGGAATTATATCCATGTACAGCTCTTTTTTACATTCATCTTAAAGGCTGTTGCCATTTTCATTAAGGATGCTGTCCTTTTCCAGGAGGAAGGCATTGATCACTGCAGCTTCTCCACAGTAAGCACATGAAAAGCAGGATATTGTGGTATTTGATGTTTTTATTTACCATTTATTTATGCTTTCACTTTTCATCCCTCTTTTTTACTATTTTTTCCCTTCTAACCTGGTAATAAAATTTATATAATTATTTTATTCAGTATATTTTACTTCATAAATATGTACATTATGCCCTCCTATATTCTTAAAGCATCAATTTGTGATGTTGCAGCACTCTAGATGAAATTTGGACTTTCACATAGCAACAGAGTAGTATCATTACATTGTTATGTGTCAATAGCCTGAAATCTAAAATTGAAGATCTCTGAGTACATCAAAGAACATTTCTTAAAGCTTATTCTTCTGGAAACTTTGGGTTTCCTGTTCTGGTTGGAAGCTCTGATCTGTAAAGCACAAAGCACTCAAGGTACCAGACAATGAATTTAGCATTCATCCAGCCCCAGATCTTGGCAATGGTTTTCAAGCTGAGGTTTATGGGATGCTTCTGCACTGCTCAGAGCCACACAGAATTTTAGAGCTGAGCATAAGGAGGAAAATGGAACCTTGAACCTTTATTCAAGGAGCATTTGACACTGAAGGTACACTCAGGGCAGTGAATTTGTGAGAGAGCTCACATGTTTGGGAGCCCAAGTTACATTTCTAACATGGAGATAAAAAGCAAAATGCAGAGGGGATTGCAAGGCGTTATGATGGCTAAAGCCTTACTACTCAGAAATCCATTTTACATTTGAAGCTCTCATTTTAAACATCAGTTTAAAGATCTTGTTCTTGGTAGAACTCAGCCAATATCACAGATGTCTCCTCCATGGTCAAACCAAAGAGATGCATCTCCAAGCAACACCTAAACTGTGACTTTCCTGTTCCCCAGACTGAATGCAAGATCTCCGTGGTTTTCTGCCACTACTTCATGATGACCAATTTCATGTGGCTGCTGGTGGAGGCTCTCTACCTGAACTGCTTGCTGCTCTCATCCCTTTCTCATGGAAGAAGATATTTTTGGTGGCTGGTTCTCTTTGGCTGGGGTAGGTTTTTATGGATTTTACAGGAAATTAGTAAAAGGCAAGGTGTTAAATGAGGCTGTGCAGCCTGGAGAAGATAAGGCTCCACAGAGACCACAGAGCAACTTCCAGGGGGTACAAGAAAGCTGGAGAGGGACTTTTCCCAAGGAATGGAGTGATGGGACATGGAAATTCCATACTGTGAGGGTGGTGAGACCCTGGCACAGGTTGCCCAGGGAGGCTGTGGATTCCCCACACCTGGAAATGTCCTGGAAGGCCAGGTTGGATGGGGATCTGAGCAACCTGGGACAGTGGAAGGTGTCCCTGTGGGCTGGAGCCAGGTGGTTTTTAAGGTGCCTTCTCCCCCAGACCATTCTATGACTCTATGACTCCATGAATCTATGGTTCTATGACTCTATGATTCTATGATTCTACAATTCTATAATTCTATGATTCCCCCAGTTCTATGATTCTATGACTCTATGATTCCATAATTCCATGGTTCTATGATTCCATAATTCCCCAGTTCTAGGATTCCATGATTCCATGGTTCTATGACTCCACAATTCTATGATTCCATGATTCATTCCCATTAAAAATACTGGATGTGGTACCCAGTTGATCTAACTAAAGAACCTAACGTGGGTGTTGCTTCCATTTTATTTTTGTGTGCATACTAGCCAGAAGCAATCAACTTTTGTTTTTGTTGGTTTTTTTTTATGGCAATAAAGCCCTTGTGAAAGGGATATAAAATCAGTTATATTTGAGAATGCCCAAGGAGACATCCTGCAGTCTCAACCTTCTTCACCCCACTGAAAACACCTCTAAGGAATTATCACAAACACCAGAATTCAATGTGCCTTGTTCTCTTTGTGCAGAATGGTTACACAGGTTGGGAAAGGGAATTGTTTTTTTCCTAATCAGGAACATTTTTATTCCTGGTATTTCTACAGCCCATTTTTTGCTGAGCTATTGTATGAATGAAGCAGCTCTTGTAACAGGACAGGCAGTGAAACAGCAACATCTCCCCTCTGATTTTGTTGTTGTCTGGAATAAATTGAATTGTTCAGACTTAGAAATCTGAAACCAAGTGGGTGCCCACAGAGAATTGCTGTGGAAAGGAAAGAGCAGAGCACTCCTCTATGGCCAGAGAAATATTTTGTTGCTTCAGGGAGGGAAATCCATGCCTGTTGCCACCAAAGATTAAGAAAGGTCTAACAACTCAATAAACAGAATCACTTTTTGTGTTTTGGGGACTGAATTTAAAACAATTACTGTTACAGGAACTGACCCCAAAAGATAATTCCAGCTCTCAGAAATGACTGATCTGTATCACTGCAGCAGAGTTTCAGTGGACAAGGCTTGGATTAATTATACCTTATTTTAAAATGTCTGATAGGTTTTCCAACACTTTTCACCCTTATATGGATATTGACAAAATTCTACTTTGAAGACACAGCGTAAGTCTTTGTTTCCCAATTTATTCTATATTGAGTTATATTTTTAATTGATTGCAGTGATTACATACATGTATTTTTGTAAACTTACTATTATGTTCGCAGATGCTGGGATATTAATCAAGGCTCTCCTTATTGGTGGCTAATCAAAGGACCAATTATAATTTCTGTGGGGGTAGGTACTTCTGAGTTGCCTGATATTACTTAGAAGAAAAAAAAGGCTTTTGAATTAAAATTGAGTTTCTTTGAATTTAAACTTTCCTAGAATTGTCAGTTTAGTTGAAATTAATAGCAAGTGAGTGGATGAAATACTCCTTATATTTGAAAACAAAATTTTAGCATAACAGCTTAGAATCTGCCATAAATTTTAATACAAAACTTTCAAGGGAAATAGGTTTTTGTTCAGAGCTGACAACTGATAACAGCTCTTGAGCCTGGCATTTATTGAATAAACTGATGGGCTTTAAATGATCTTCATAAATGTTTACTCTCACAAGTCATTAAACCCAAGCAACGTTTGAGAAAGCAGTTAATGGATGACCTTAAGGTCAGCTATAAAAATCTTCATGTAATTGGAGAACAGATGGATGCAAATGAGGGGTATGGAATCACAGAATTTGGGTTGGAAGAGACCTTAAAGATCCACACAAACAATGTGAGTGAAGAATTTTAAGCTGAATTCTGGCCAGAGTTCTCTGTGTTTCAATGAAATATTTCATGTCCTTCTACCTCTGTTGTTTCTTCTGCTGGAATTCACATAGAGCATCACTAATGGACAGAATGAGGTTGGACTTTCTGGTACAATGAGGAAATTCTTAGACAAAACTAAACATTCAGCCTCACCTAAGGAAGAGCTGGTGCGTACAGACACTCCAAAAGTGCATGGGGAGAATCCCTCTGATCATGAAAAACCAAGCAGCCTCACAGGCTTTGCATAAACCTATGCCAAATTACAGCTGTAGAAGAATTGATTTGCAAGTTAGGATTGACCCTGACTGCTTTGGAGCTGAGCTAATGCTCCTCAAGGGCTCCTTCAGAGCCAAAAAAGGGAAATGTGCACTTTTGGCAAGTTTCAGATTCAGATTCACCCAATTTAAAACAAATATCTACCTTGGGAGGAGGTGAGCTGCCCCCAAGCCCACCTGAAGCTCCACTCACTCTCCTGGCTGGTTCTCCACTGACTGCAAAGGCAGAACAGGGTCATCAGCTCTGATGGAAATGTCTCATTGTAGAAGTATTTAGGCAGAAAAATTCTATTCATAGTGCCCAGAGAGATCAGCCAGAATTTAATGCAATATTCATCTTCAAGGAGAATCCAACTGATTTGAGCTACAAAAGGCAAAAGAGAGTCAGATAAGCTATTGATGAAAATATTTTGCTGAACTGGGTGAAAGTCTCAAGTTTTCACCTTCAGCCATTTCTTCAAGCAGGAATGCAACTTATTTAAATACTTGTATGCCGCCAGCAGGAATAGCATTAACGACCTTACATTAAAACTGCAGAAATTACATTCTAACTAAAAAAAAAAAAATAAATTACCAGATTTTCACTGCTAAGTTTTTCATCAGAAATTAACTTTTTCTTCCCTCCCACCCCTCAAATGTTATGAACAGGTCAATTTTGTCCTATTTATCAACATCATCAGAATATTGCTGAAAAAACTAGACCCTAGACAAATCAACTTCAATAATTCTTCTCAGTACAGGTAATGTATGGAATATCTTTTAAAAATCAATTATTTCAATATTAATAATAAAAAGTTATGTTGTCTTTTCTAAACAGAGAAGTACTTGCTTAGTGTTGCAGACAGGCTCAGTTTAATTAGTGTTAAATTTTATAATTCCCAACCTTATCTCACTCCAAAGCAAATCAGTGAAAGGGTGAGACTCAAGTCACCTCATATTGGCCAATGGGATGTATTCAGATCAGCCCAGCCTTGCAATTAAAATCAATGGGGAGACAATGAAATTAATTGCATTGGCATTAAACCTCTTATTTAAGACAGGAAAAATTACCCTCTATAGCTGCCTTTCTCTGTATGAGAAGGAAGCCAGCATATTTATTTCTATTTTATATGTATTTTTTTATATTTTATATCCTGGTTTCTTCTTCATTTCTGCTCACTGCTGTGGCACACTGACTGCCTTAGTTTTTACTCAGAAAAATAATATTACCTTATTTCTTCTCATCTCCTGTGCTAGACGTCTCTCAAGGTCGACTCTGCTTCTAATTCCTTTATTTGGAACCCATTACATTGTCTTCAACTTCCTCCCAGAATATACCAGCCTGGGGGTTCGACTTTATTTGGAGCTCTGCATTGGCTCTTTTCAGGTAAAATTACCACAGATCCTTTGGTTCCTTCTTACCAGTTTTTCTATTTTAGCCTTGTGTCTTCACAACAACAAGAATTGCACAAAAAGAATCCTCAGATTCTGAAACCAGTGGCTTTAATAAACTAATGACAGAATGTCTTCTCACAAAGTTCCTGGTTCTTCGCTGAGTTAAAACGTCTGAAGAGGTGACAAATCCTGCCTGGCTCTAGGCTGGCCTCCAGATTTTGGAAATACAAAATTTCAGATAAGTGTGTCAATCTGATGGGGGGGCCAAAGTCAAGCATGGAAAATCTTCCTTGCTACCAGTACTTGTCCTTCCCTGACCTACTGCCTTCCCTGACTTCACTTACAAATCCAAGCTGAACTGGGCTGATTTATAATCCTCCAGAGGCAATCAAAGTTGTATCTCCAGCCCCCTTGCTAATTCTTTGTCAAATAATAAATTGATAATTAAACATAAGCATCAAGCAGTGCCTGGTGTGTTTACCAGCCCCACACAGGCTGCTGTCCCAAGGGATGCCACATCCCTTCCCCTCCTGAAAATATTGGGTTGATGCTCCCCACTGCTCTGGATTGGCACACAGGACATGGACAGCTTGAGGAGCTTGATGCCAACAAGAAAACTCCTGCTCTGATTTCCCCTCCAGTTGGTTTTGCTGCCTGAGTTTTATGAGCTGGGCAGGACCGGATTTCCCTTTGCGTCCCTCCTGTTCCCTGGGCTGCACCTCAGTCCAAAGCAGCAGCTGTGGGAATGCCTCCAAACCTCCCCAGGGAACAGATCTCTCCCTGGATGGTTCCATGGGATTGTTCATGAGATGGTTCTCAGGGAGGATCACCAGAAATCCATGAGTTTTGTGATGGTTTATTCCTCTTGAGGATTGACTCTGTTGTGTCAGTCCCAACAAACCCAGTCCATCAATCCCAACCTTCTGTACAGGGAAGGGACCTTCACTGAGTTAATGAATAGTTAATGAATAATTTAATGGAATAAAAGGTCAAGCTGTTGAGCCAGGATCTGGTCATGCAGGTCCTTTGACCTCCTAGGATTTGTCCTGGATTTATCTCAGTTCAGAATCTTAACAAACACATTCAATAGGTCAGAATTGGCTCTCATCTGGTAGTACACAGAGACACAGGATTTGCCTGGAGAGCTATGTGAGCTCCATCCATGGATCTCCGTCGGCAATCCCTGTTTTACTTTCTTTAGAGTGCATAAAGAATCAGCTGTCAGTGTGTTGGGCTGGAGAGTGGACCACATTTCCATAATCATCAATCACATTTGTGAATTCATAGTATGTGCCTGATTTTGATGAAATGCCACTAACCAGGTGTTTATCTTTAAAGCTGTTCAGCTTTTTTGGAGATCCATAAATTATCTTTCAACTTCCAGCAATCTCCCACCTACAGTAATTCACATACCATGAAGTCAGATAATGTAACTGGCTTTTTCAGACTGTGTTAACCCTCAAAACTTTATCTTCTGGTCTTTTTCAGGGGTTTATTGTAGCAGTTCTCTACTGTTTCCTGAACCAAGAGGTAAGGGAATATATCAGATATATTTTCCACAATACTGCCTTCAGTGGCAAATATATAGTTAACAATCAGTTTCATACAAAAGATAACCAAATCTTTCATTTTCTTATGACTGTTACATGGGCAACAATGATGATGAATTTCATTTCAATGATCTTCATGGGAATGAAGCCATCTAGTGGAGAAATGAACTTTTACTACTTTGCTATTCTGTCAAGTATTTTTGATCCTTTCTGCACATTTTTGCCCTATAGCAGGGCTTGGAAAACCCCTGCTAAGTCCAGATCTAAAAATACAACTTGCTTCAGTGATGCAGAGTGATCTCCATTTACTAAGGTCTATGTTTAAATTGGAAAGAATTTAAATGCATAGCTTTCTCCAATAGTGAAATATATATTTTTCTTAGTATTTTTAATAGTCTCATGAAGCATCTCAGTATTTCTTCATGTTGGTAAATCTGGTTTTCTGTTCAGAATGTTGAAGTCAGAATTTCACTGTTGATGGGAGATGAGTCTTTCCTTTTAGCTTAGTGTCCACGTCCAGTCTAGATGAGATAATAATGCATCTTAAAGGAATTCTACAGAAAACGTGAAAGTTTATCCTCCATATTTTAGAATATGTTGAAACTCTGAAATTTTCCCTCATTTTCTAACTCCATAGTAGCTGAGATTGCTCCTTTGGAATATGACAGGGATTCAGTTTCAGACTAACACTCTGCTGGATTCTGTCTGCAGCTCCTGAAAAGGAGAATCCTGTTCCATGTATGTCCAAACTTCTCCCCAGAAAGGGCATCCCTGGAATGTCAAAGGTGTGTTTAGGAGATGAATCCTGCCCCTGATCACTCTAGACTCCCTGGACTGTATTGCTAAACCTTCATTTTCCAGTTTAAAGTTTAAAGTCAAGGGCTGATTAAGATTTCAAGCACTATTTAATCACCTACATGTGCCATGGGCCAAACTTTCTGAATTCTATCCGAATTTTCTGAAATATTAAATTAAATATTTTTAAATATATTACCAACCTTAGCCTTTTGGTTGAGTTTATGGCCATGAATTACTGGCTGCTCTAATGATGCTTGTGTTTAGATAAAAATCCTGTCATTAGTTTATTAATAACCCTAATCCCTTCTAACCACAGACCATAGTTACGCATCCAGCACTTCCATACAGAAATTCCCTCCCTATTAAACATCTGGGGAGGCACATTTCTAAGAAGAATCAGATGTGACAGGAGGCTTTAGTGGGTGGCCTGGACCTTCTCTGTGCTCCTGTGAACATGCCAGTACACGACACACAATGACACAGCTGTCAACAACACACAGCAAACCTCTCTGGCTGCTGCTGCCTTTCCCCTCATCATCTCAAATGGCAAAGCAGCGTTATTTCCCAGCCACAAATTGGAGAATGCTGATTAAGAAACTCGCTGCAGATTATACTTTTCTAGAAGCAGATGGAACCAAGACAACATCCCTTAGCAACTGAGAAAGAGCAGGCAATGCGGAGAAAATATATTTCATTGTGTAGGCTATGTTGGTGAGATCGATGGTAAAATAAATATTCATAGGAATATTAAAAGAAAAAGGAGAAGGTATATGAAAAAAAAAAAAGCTATTTTAGAAATGGAGAAAATGGTTTATAGTGCTAAAGACCTCAAGCTGACTTCTGATAGAACTTCAGGAGAAGTTTTCATCAGTGCAGAAAGATGGCCGTGTTGAGACAGGATTATATTTCTCCCTATCATCTAAAAAGGAAACTAACTTGGTCAGAGATGTCTAAAAGGTTTATTCTTTTCTAGCCCCTTTTTCTCTCCTGCTTCTTTCCCACTGTCTGCTCCCCAGCAGAATTCAACCACCAAACAGCTTTTTCCTTTGTTCCTCAGGTGCAAACGGAAATCGGCCGCAGGTGGCACGGGAAGAGATACGGGCTGGTGCCAGTGTGGAGGAGGACCAGGTGGACTGTGCCCTCCAGCTCTGGGGTGAAAATGACCACATCTGTCTGCTGAAAATGGCCACATCTGTCTGCTGAAAATGGCCACATCTGTCTGCTGAAAACGGCCACGTCTGTCTGCTGAAAATAGCCACATCTGTGTTTTGAAAATGGCCTCAGGCTCTGGAGGGGAAAAAATCCAACCAAACAAACAAAATTTTACCAAACGTAACTATTGCAGTTTATCCTGAGCAAATTGGAGGAGGATCTTCCAATTCTGGCCATGGGGCTTTTCTGCAAGACAAGCATTGCAAGGACAGATTAAACCCTGACTGATCTTCTAAACACAAAATAACCCTGTCAGTGATAACTCTGCAAACATAACCACAGCAAACATAAAAATTGCCTGTTCTGGTTCACTTCTACACTTTCACTGAGAGAGTACTGTGGTATTTTTGGGGTCCCCCATCAAGAGGAGGAATGATGCATCTGACTCCATGTTCTTAGAAGGCTAATTTATTATTTTATGATACTATATTATATTAAAGAATGCTATACTAAACTATATTAAGAATAGAGAAAGGATATAGACAGAAGGCTAAAAGATAATAATGACAATTATGACTCCTTCCAGAGTCCCAACACAGCCTGACTGTGATTGGTCATTAAGTTAAAACAATTCACATGAAATCAATCAAACGACCACCTGTTGGATAAACAATCTCCAAACCACATTCCAAAGTAGCAAAACACAGGGGAAGCAAATGAGATAATATTGTTTTCCTTTTTCTACGAGGCTTCTCAGCTTCCCAGGAGAAGAATCCTGGGCAAGGAGATTTTTCAGCAAATGTGATGGTGACAGAGCAAAAAGTACTTATGAATGGACACCAGTAGCACCCTCCAGTGACACCATAGATGACCACCTCTGGAAAACAGAATTCAATTCTAATTTAGTGGGGGCTGGAGTCTATCCAGCTTCTTCAAGCTTTGTTCCATGCTTTGATTCCATAGACATATAAATAAGAACCCCAAAATGCACCACAAAATGCGCTTTTGTGTTGTCTTTTTACATTGTCTCTGTAGTAGCAAAAAGATTCAATTTTGCCATAAAACATTCTCAGGTTCTGATGCTATTTCAGGAGTTACAGGTTAGAAAATTCCTGACAGCCAAGTAGCAGGAAAGGGAGGCATTGGGAAGGCCAAGGCTCCATATGATAATCATTAAGGAAATTCTTTGCAAGGAAATTAAAAGAAAAAGCCAAATTTGCAAAGAAGGAGAATGAGACCCCCAGGAGATGGACTTGGAGACTGCTGGGAATATTGCTAAATATTTTCTTATGTGTGACTGTTTTTGCTTTCCAGTGTTGTAAAAGATTCAGAAGCTTGAAAATAAACTTGGATTCCCAGTGTTTGTACTTGAGTGGTTTTGTTTTGTTTTATTTTTTTTTTTTTTTTTTTCCCCACAATGATAATTGTACCTTTAAATTAAAAGATTGATTAAACTTTTTTGATGGGAATATCAGGGCTTGGAAAGGGGTGAAAAAAAGTTAAGCTGTACCAGCCAGTGAGGATCATTGCATCAATACACTTCACCCTGCTCTTCTGGGCATTTCACTGAGGTGCCAAATCTGATTAAAAACCAGAAATTTCCCTTTGCTGAATCCAGGTAATTACAGCTAACCTGAAGAAATGGAATGTTGTTTTACCTAATTTTTGTACAGAAGTTCACTGCCCATGATTTTCCTCTTCCAATTTAAAAAATAATAATTAAAAGAAAAGGTGTTGTTTTTAATTTTTTTTCCTTGTTATTCTTCTACCTATGAAAATTACAGCAATGTCTGGATTCAGACCTAAGGGTGGGAGAAGTTTATGTCCATTTCTGAAGCAATTCCTTGGAACATTTTACAATGTAGAGCAATTTTACAATTGTTTTTACTGGTTTCCTTCCATTATCCAGAAGAATTCATGCTGATCTGGGTGGAGGGAAGGAATGAACAGAGAGAAGCCTTCACATGGCTTTCAGTGCCCCACAGCACCCAGCCCTGGTGGAAAAGTGGCATTGCCAGCAAACATGAGCTCTTCCCTGGAGAGGAATGGTTTTCAGCCTCCCAAAGATCATTGTCTCTATCAGCTAAAATGATAATAACTCATGAAAGACAGATAAATTTTATGCATCTCTCCCCATAAATGTTTAGATAGAAAATTTCTTGCAGCTGCTGGTGGGAAAATCAGGAGATTTACTGTGAACACCATCATGCTCTAAAAGTGTAAGATAAAAAGCAATAAAAACCAAATAAAATTCCTTCTTCTCCTGAACAGATCAACCACTGTGAGGCTCAGCTGATTTCTGAATGTGTGATGGCACTTTCTGGTCTCCCTGTCTCAAATAATATTTTAAAGTTTCATATTAAGACTCTTGACCATATCAAATGGATTTTCTGGATTGCAATTAGCCCCTGAAATTCTGAAATGGGGTTTCCACATTGACTCTGACTTTAAAAGGATGAGTTAGTAACAGATATGAAAGCACATGAACACAGGGACTTGTCAGGGATCTTGTTTTTAGAGAAATTTGGATTAAGAGATTACCCCAAATCCCTCTGCATCAAAAATAAATTGGTCTGTCCAAATAATTTCCATTGGCTCTGTATCATCTGTAATAGGCACAATTATTTGGCTGCATTCCAGTACCTGTGGCATCCATTGTCACCTAAATAGGATTATTACACACTGAGTCTTTGTCCTTCTCAGTCATCTCAGCTTTTTCTAGCATGAAAAAGAGCAGGAATCTTAAAGATATCATTTTTTCCCTTCCTGAAATAAACCCTAGCTATTTTCCAGGGAATAATTTCCTTGGAGATTGCTGAAACTGGAAACAGAAGTGGTTAAACTCACAAGATATGACTCAAAATATTTAATTAGAGTATTAATATCAGTTATGACAAGACATGAGGTGGAGATTAGGATTGCATTTCATTTTTACTAAATCCTATATTGAATATAAAATGTTGAGCAGGATTCAAACTCTATAGGAATTCAGCTTTTCAGGATGGGAATTGCATTGAATTTAGATTATTTTTATGGCCTTAACATGAGTTTAGGAGCATGTGCACACTTATCACGAGATTATTTTTCTACATGTTCTTGTCTGTCACATGCAAGGTTTGATAACAAAAGTATGAAAAGTATAAGCAGCAGAAACTCCTTAACCTTTGAAGAATAAATTTGGCTAAGTGTGATTTACTTTCACTTGAAGTAGAGCCAGAGCAACAAAAAGCTGGGTTGAAGACAGAGAATTATTCAAGGCTGCGCAAATTGCCACAGGGTTTACAATGCAATGAGTAAAGACAGAAATAAAAAGGTGCTTCCAGGTCTGGGGGCATGAGTTGATCTCACTGCAGGCTGCAGAAGTAAAAGAAATTGTTAATTTTCAAGTTTCTGCCTGCTTAGGTGAAAGTTAAATCTCTTGGTCTCAAAATAATATTTTACTACTGTCCCACTCACATTTACTGAAAAAATCCCTTCACCCAGGATTTTTCTCCTGGGAAGCTGAGAAGCCTCAGAGGAAAAAGAAAACAATTCTTATCTCATTTGCTTCTCCTGTGTTGTGCTCATGTGGAATGTGTTTGGAGATTGTTTACCCACAGGTGATTGTTTCATTGGTATATGTGAGTTGTTTTCACTCTTTGGCCAATCAGGGCCAAGCTGTGTCGGGACTTTGGAGAGTGTCACGAGTTTTCATTATTATCTTTATAGCATTGAGTAGTTATCCTTTCTGTATTCTTTAGTATAGTTTAGTATAGTATTCTTTAATAAAATCTAGTATTATAAAATAATAAATTAGCCTTCTGAGAACATGGAGTCAGATTCATCATTCCTTTCCTGCCACAGGGGCACCCAGCAAATACAATATACCACGACAACATAGCAATCATAGTATATCATTTTATGATATTGGTCAGCTTTTCTGCTCCTACCCTCAAAAACACCTGCCAGATACCTAAAAATTAGCAATCCCTTCCAAGAACTTTTTTTGAATGGAAATATCCCATTTTTTTTGGTGGAAGCACTTGGTTACTGCTCCCACATTCACATTCAGGTGGTATTTTCTGTTGGGCTTTTGCCCACTAGTTTTGTCATTATTTTTTCATCTTCCCTCAGGCAGGCAATAACCCTTTTACACTGATTTTTTTCTGTCTACCTTAGTGCCTTATATGCTTCCCCACACACTGTAACTGCTAAGTTTAATGGCACATTCTCTTCTACTAACAGCGTATATTTTATATGAACAAAATTTAACAGTGTATCCCATAACAACAATCAGAGAACACTTCTGGTTCTTCTGTCTTTATCTGACATCAAAGAGAGGTCACTATTACTGGTTTTATATAATGAAATAATTTCAATTTTCAGTGAAGCAATGATAACTGTTCAATACTTTGTTTTATCTGAATTATGATTCAAGCTCTGATGCAGCAAACCCTTGGTACCTCTTTCAATGTCCCACAGTGATGACATTGATCTTAGAGAAGAAAAAACATAAAAATAATAAAAGTGGCCCAAAGGTCCTTCAAATTGATTATTGTAATAAAAATTCTACTGGCATCATTTGTTACCTGAACCAATTTGCAGCTGAAACCCTTCCATGTAAGATCCCAGATGTGCTGTGGTGCCTGCAGGAGAAGGGAGATGTCTCTGTCTGTCTGTGATGGGTTGGGAACAAGCCTGGAACATCCTTTAATGATGATTCTGCTGTTCCCTGCTGCTCAGGGAGAGCTCTGGAAACTGAAACTGAGCTCAGCTTTGATAGCAAGAGACACAATCACATTTACACGAGCACTGTCTGGCTTCAATTGTGCTCTGCTATTACCAAATGAAGATGTCAATATGGTACTCTTCAGTTCTGCCATTGTCCCTAAAGGACAAAGCTTTTCATCAGATCCTGCCCACTGCAAAATTTGTCAGAATGATGGGGAAGATTTTGGTCAGTGGAAATTGTTTTATGGCACACTATGAAAATCCTATATCCAAAGAGCTTAAAAATAAAAAAAGAATTGCAGTTTCTATGAATATTTC